TTTTTTTGTTTGTTTATTTTATGTCAGAATCTACACCATGTTCTGATTGTGATGGAAATGATGTGGTAGGAAAACTGTTATGCATTGCCTGTCTTCAGAAGGTAACCACTTCAGCTTCACCTATAGCTGCACAGCCACAGGACATGTTGGCATAGCTTACAATGGAAGCTGCAAGGTTTTGACTGAATCTACACCATGATTTGGTTCTGATGAGAAAGCAGTGTAAGAAAAACAGTTATTCTCTGACTGTCTCCATAAGGTAGCTGCTTCAGCATCACCTATAACGGCGCAGCCACATGACAGGTGGGACGATGCTACCGCTTGACAACTCAGCTTTTTTTTTTTTACGCAAGTCTATGGATCAAAAGTGGACGCAGACCTACCCAAATTTATACACCTGCTGATGCAGGTTGTCATCCAGCTGTAGTTTTCACTGCTGTTTCTAGAAACATGAAAAGAGTGTTTAAAGATCTAAATGCTACTGTGGATAGAGATATTAAGAGCCAAGATTGAAGATGCAGTCTGTAGTCTTCAGGTCACAAGTGACTTCTTCACAGAAGCTTCGTTAGATGTAACTAGGATATTCTCTCGAACAAAGCACTTTATCTATAGCAGCTAGGAAAGCATTATGGTTCTGCTTCTGAGATGATGACGCATCCTCCAATTCTGCCCTCTACGCCATTCTATTTGAAGGGGAGCTGATGTTTGGGAAAGCTTTTGATGAATCCATTAAAAGGTAGCCGAGATATAAGAAATTTACCTCTGGGGGCGGAGCCTAACAGCGGAGCTGAGCGGTCGCAACTTACTGGAGCTCCGGCTACACCGCGACGATTTGGGAGAAAACACAGCTTTGATCAAGCTGTTTTGTACCGGGTCCAACCACGAGCAGCTGGGGAGTCACCCGGAGACTGCCTGGAGCAACAACTGCAGCGCTAGCCCCATCACTCGGGTCTGCAGCACGAGTTGGGGCCTACCACATGCGGGCAGGCGGGAAGTGGCCATTCCCCCTGCTAAGGTACAGGGTGACTCAGCTCCCACAGTAGACCCCACCAGAGACTTGCCTCACCAACCCCCCCCCCCCACCGGAGAGGGAGATCCCGGTATCATACACATACCCACAGACGATATGGGGCGCAAGCATAAAAGACAGCTCCAGACAGACAGGCCTGCAGTGCAGGACATTAGACTATCCTTTGGGAGGGCACCCCAGCAAACACCCACAAGGGCGGCAACTGAGCAATACAGTGAGCAAGATGCCTCTGATGACTCCCCTGAAGAAGAGGATTATACCATCTCTCCTCACCCAGATGGAGTGTACCAGAGAACTAACTCAGATGAGGACTCATCCCCCGCCACAAAGGGAGATATTAAAAAATTGCTCCTAGATCTGAGAACAATGTGGAAGGCCGACCTCCAGGAAACACAAACTGAGGTCAAGGCCCTGCAGCATGAGATGTCTGCAATGGAGAGCAGAGAACAAGCCAGGGACGCTCAGCTCCAGACCACTACACAACATGTGGAGGATCTCACCTCACAAGTTAAACAAATAAGCAAAATGGTGCTCACACTGGAGTCCAGACACAGGCGTCGGAATGTGCGTCTGAGAGGTCTACCTGAACAGGTTGAGGGGGGGGACACGCTGCAATATGTTCAAAAGCTGTTTACCTCAATGGGCATTCACAGCCCCACAGGCACACCTTGCATCCTGGCCGCCTTCCGAATACGCAAATCCGCAGCGGCACCAGCAGACGCACCGAGAGATGTCATTGTGACAACCAAAGACATTGCGGTGAGGACCGCTATTATGGCTAAATCCAGATCTATGGGCCAAGTGAGTTTCGAGGGCCATAACCTCTCCATCTACAGCGACCTCCCATTTACCATCCTGGCGGAAAGAAGACAGCTGGCCCCAGTAGCTAGGAGGCTGCGGGACTGCTCCATCAGATACCGATGGAATGCGGATGGATCTTTGGCCGTCACACAAGGCACAGAAACATTCACCCTAACTTCATCAGATAACCCAGAGACTCTCTTTAACAAACTGGGCCGACCAACCGCCAACATGCCAGAAGAGACAAACCGAGGGGGAAAAACACATGAGAAAAAGGCCATGGGAAGAGCGAAACAACAGAGCAGTCCGACCAAGAGACACCTGCCTAACACCAGAGACAGTTCTGAATCGCCATAACTGTTACCAAGGAACTGACGGAGTGCTGTTCCCTTCAATGCTGCCATGTTCTATAAATTTTTATTTCTTCTTTTTTTGTTTCTACATATATATATGCATATAACCTTTTATTCCTTATATAAAGTGTCAAGATCTGCGGACACCTACTGCCCGCTGATGCAATATATCATTATACATTACTTTTCTACTGCCAGGCTTGTAATTCCACATATATGCTGTGGTTGAGTTTGTATCTGCTGTTGTGACACTATGAGCATGTGGTATATGAACCTATACTTGCCTAGCACGTGTTAAACTCTGCTTGCTGTTCCTATAGTTAATGTGCAAGTTTTAGACCATGTTTGACTACTTAAGTGCTAACTAAATAACCTAAACTATCAGCTCAACTTAGCCTACTATTCTTGAACTCACTAGTCTAACTTATCTAAAGTTTACTCTTTAAAAATTGTGCCTAAACATCAAATGTCACATCTTGTATTGCATAGTTAATTTCTATATACCTCAATACTGCTGTTGTGGCATACTGAGGCTGTTTGTTAATTTGTGCACAACAAAAATAAAGAATTAAAAAAAAAAAAAAAAAGGTAGCCGAGGGCTGCAAGGTATTTACCTCAGGACTGAAGATCCAAGAATCCGGCTCCTCAGAGTCAGACAGGAGAACCTCCAGTGACCAGCATTTCTGAGATACATGGAATTACTGACCCTGCAGGTTATACTCCAGAGGTAACTCGTGGCAGATGGTAACCTGCCTATCAAGGTTCTAATAGAGCTATAAAGAAGGTATAGCACTGAAGCTTCAGACACGAGAATCTCTATATCAACAAGAGAATTCGGGATTATTCTAACCTTAGTGACCGATTAATCTAAATTTTATTAAAGACAGGAGGTGAATATTTGCTTTACTTTCTTTACTGTAACTCCCAGCAGCAAAGAAACAGTTAACAGTAAGTAAAAAATGTAACCAGAGTGTACAATAGAGTATGTCCAGTCATCAGGCTCCTCCCAATTCCTCTTTCTTGATGCAGCTGACAGCCGCAGAGTCAACCATGTAAACGGTGGAACAATAAAAGGTCTCAACTGTAGTCAACCATGTAAACGATGTGGGAACATAGGTAATTCCTCGAGATGTAGTGAAGGATTTTCACACTAGGAAAAAGGAGAGAGAGAGAGGTCGTGAAAGTATGGTTTCTTGGGTAAAGGAAAAACAATACCTAATTACGTTATCTGATATGTTTCCAACAAGTTGTACAGTCCTATTCTGACAAGTCTTAAATTATGAGGTAGTGAGTGTAGTATCCGTAAAGGTAGTTGTAGGAGAGGCCTGAGACGTAGGTTATAAAACATTGGTTTAGTCAATAGAGGTGTTGTGGAATACCTACCTAGTTGGGTTGGGTGTGTGTACTAGCGGGCGGGAAAATATTCGCCTCCTGTCTTTAATAAAATTTAGATTATTCGGTCACTAAGGTTAGAATAATCCCGAATTTTATGGCAAGACAGGAGGCTTCATACTTGCTGTTTTAAAGCGATGATATGATGGCATTAGATACATGAGGGGGTTGTCTAAAATAGAAGGTTCTGAAGGTAGATTCTCTAGACCAATCTGCGGAAGTGAGGATCTCCGTTAGGGAGCCCCCAGATGTAAATGCAGACGAGGCGGCCGTGCCTCTGACTGAGTGAGCACCAAAACATGGGTCGATACCAGCTAGGACTAGAAGCCATTTGATCCAACGAGCAATCGTGGGACATGACACTGGCTTGTGAGGTCGAACGTAGGACACCAGTAGGGGTCCTGTTCTGGTCTAAGATACTTGGTGCGGAGGATGTAGTGTCTGACGCAACTAGCTACGCAGAGCATGGGTTTGTCGTGAAAATAAGGGTAGCTTACTGTAGATGAATTGGTTTTGGTGCGTTGGGTAATGGAGAAGTGTACTTCCTCAGGGATAAAGTCCACCGCATGAACATCAAACGCTCTGATGTCCGAGACTCTTCTAAACGATACCAAACAGAGCAGTAGTGCCAGTTTGGCCGACAGTTGTCGAAGAGAGAGTTCTCCATTAGGAGGCCATGTCTCCAAAAAGGATAATACCATGGTAACATCCCAAAATTGATTATATTTGGGTGCCGGGGGTCTCGCGAGGCACATGCCTCGCAGAAGTCTACATATGGAGGGGTGTTTACCAACCGCGGAGTTGTCAACCAAGCTATGGGCTGCCGAAATGGCTGAACGGACAACGTTATTTGACTGATAGGACTAACCCTTTTCCAAAAGTGATGCCAGGAAATTCATAATGTTAATCAGAGAGGTTGAAAAGGGATCAGCGTCCCTCTCCAAGCACCAGCTATTCCAGCATTGCCACGCTGAGAGATAAGAACGTCTTGTGCCCGGGGCCCAAGAGTCCCATAGTAGTCCTTGAGCAGTAGTCGAAAGGCCTGAGACATTCCAGGATCCCCTGAAATGGTCCAGGCCACTAACCGAAGGTGGTCTTGTAGTGCTAGTGGATGGAAGTTGCCTGAGGGGTCCCTGAGGAGATTGTATGAGGTGGGTAGGAGATACGGGAACCATGGTTGAGTTCGCCAGAATTATGGTGACGCCCTGTGTTCTGAGGTATTGGATCGTGCATGGAATCATGGAGAATGGGGGAAAGGCATACGCTCCGGATGTTGGCCACGGTTGAAGAAAGGCGTCCACTGCCAGGCACGCTGGGTCTGGGAGCCAGCTGAAGAATGTGTCCGTCTGACGGTTCAGGCGAGATGCGAATAGGTCCAGGTTGAATGGTCCTCTCGGGGTCTGTAGATGATGAAAAATTTGTGGGTCCAGTTGCCAATCGCTGGAATCCCTCCAGTGGCGTGAGAACCAATCTGCGACGAGATTGTCGGAGCCCGGGAGATATTCCGCACGAAGGGAGATATTCCTGTCCAGGCAGAATTGGTACAATTCCTTCGTCAGATCTGATAGCATCTTTGATCGCGAGCCACCTAGGCGGTTCACATATTGTACTGCTGAGACGTTGTCCATCCTCAGGATGAGGCTGCAGTTGTAGGCCTCCTTGGCAAAACTGCGGATCGCGAAAGAACCAGCAATCAGTTCGAGGCAATTAATATGTAGTGCCTGTTCTGATGGGGACCAGAGGCCTCCGGTAAAACGTTCCGAGCAGGTGGCACCCCATCCGAGGAGGCTGGCATCCGATTCCAGAATGAAGTTGGGTTGCCGGCCGAAGATAGCCCTTCCGTTCCAGGCTTCCATAAGTTGAAGCCACCAGTGGAGTTCTAGTTGGACTTCGTCTGTGAGGAAGATCTGTTGGTCATAGGATGGTGAGCGATGTAAGTAGTGTGTTCTCAAACGTTGCATCGCCCGATAGTGTAGCGGGGCTGGGAATATTGCCTGGATTGAGGCGGAGAGTAATCCGATTGTGCGGGCTAAATCTCTGAGTCGGAGGTAAGGCGTTGTTAGTAATCTCTGGATGTCCTTTTTTATGGTTTTGATTTTCGTAACAGGTAGTTGCAGGACTGCCTGAATCTAATCTATCTGGAATCCCAGAAACTGTATCGTCTGAGATGGGGTCAGAGATGATTTTTGGAGGTTTATGATGAAACCCAAATTCTGGAGAAGGGCCGAAGTCGTGTCCGTATGGAGATGTAGAGTCTCTTTGTCTTGTGCCATAAGGAGGATATCGTCCAAGTATATGATGGACCGAATTCCTTGTGAACGGAGGAGAGCCATCACCGGTTTCATTAGTTTGGTGAAACACCAAGGTGCGGAGCACAGTCCGAAGGGGAGGCAGGTGAACTGCCATAGTGTCTTGTCCCAATTGAATTGGAGGAAAGTGCGATGTTCTGGCATGATTGGTATCGTGAGGTATGCATCTTTGAGGTCGAAACGGGAAAACCAATCTCCCTCGCAGAGGAGGTCCCGTAATAGGTGGATGCCTTCCATCTTGAAGTGTCTGTATCTGATGACTTTGTTCAGTTCTCGCAGATTGATGACTGGTCGGAATTCACCCGACTTTTTCTTGACCAAAAACATATTGCTCACGAAACCGGGTGAGGGCCCGTTCGATGACACCCTTGTTGACTAGGTCGTCGAGTTCGGCTTGAAGGGCCATGTCGTCTATTTGAGACATCTTGAGAGGGGTAGGCAAGGACACCTGAATTGGATCCTCTGTAAAGTCTAGGTGGAAGCCGGAGACGGTCTGAAGGATCCACGGATCCTGCGTGAGTTGGTACCACTGTTGGGAAAAAATGTATTAATCGGCCTGCTATAGGTACATGAGAAGAATGAGAGTCCCTTACCTGTAGGAGTGCGACCGCGGAGGGAAGCAGATCAACGTCCTCTAATGGATCCACGAGAGGGGAAGAACTGCTTGTGGTGGAAACGGGTATTGCCCGAGTTCCAATGTTCAGAAGGTCGAGGCCTATAGCCTGTAGAGGCAGCTCTGCCAGCCGTCCGGCCTCTGTAATGGCTGGCTCTCCCAGAAAAACGTTGGGACCTAAATACCCTGCGTAATGAAGATTGCGCTTTTGTAAGCGTAGTAAACACAGCCACGTGTTTACTTAATTCTTTAATAAATTTGTCTCCAAAAAGCATACCTTGTGCCTCAGGGCCAAGCTCTTTAGTGCCTAATTCGGCAAGCTTTGAGTCTATCTTATATAAGGCGGCTTTCCGTCTTTCGGTTGACATAGCAACATTCGCGTTGCCTAGTAGGCATAATGCCCTCTGTGCCCATTCTCGCACCATATGTGCGTCTAAAGTGCCACCTGCCAAAGCCTCATCTGCAATAGTGAAAATCTGGATAAGCGGTCCTGCCATATCCATCATTTTATCCTGCGTGGCCTTCAGGCCTTGTTCCAAACCCTTACTGGGGTCTTTTCCTGTCTTGTACAGAAAAGTGACGAGTAAGGGATCGAATTCTGGGGTAACCGCCACCTTGTCTGGGATTACAGGTCGTGGGCATTCTGCCCTTAATTTAGCTCTGACCTCTTTTTCCAAAGGTTTACGAAGCCACATCCTACAGAACTTAGCTATGTGGTCTGGGGGACTCCACTCTACAGAGCGTGGGTGTTTGATATACCAAGGGTCGAACAGGGGGCGGCCAGAGGTATCTAGTAAAATATCCTCAGATATGTTTTGGTTAGGGTCAGAGGTTAGGAGCTCATTTTGGTGGGGTTCATGGGAGGGAAGGTCCTCGTCCGAATACCCTGCAGAGTATTCATCCAGTAACTGAAGTTGCAGGTTGGAAGTTGAACCCTTTAATGGGTCAAAGTTATAATTGGGGGTATCATCCCAAGTACCAGAAAGGGATAATCTAGGTGCTTTTACTGGTGCCTTGCCTTTACCGGTGCTAGCACTATTGCCCTTCCAAGGGCGTTTGCGGGGACATTCGTCATGGTCTGAGCCTTTTGACTCTTCAGAGTCTGAGAGGTGCACGACAGGAGCTCTGGGGGCAGACTTTGAATGTTCTTGAAACGCTGCCAAAGCTTTGGGAATGGAGTCTGCAATGGCGTTATACAGCCAAGCTTTGAGCTCTGCAGAGACTGGTGTTCAGGTAAATCAGACATTTTTATTGAGAGAAGTGGGGTCACCACGAGTATAAATATATATGTACAATATATATATATATATATATATATTTTTTTTATAGAACTCTAAGGCAGTGGACTTGTTCAAAACACAAAACGTGTATATAAAACTCAAAGTGTTAATTAAGCGTGGGGGTCACCCACAGTTATTACAGCGGAAACGGTATAACCGTATTAAAGGACCACTATAGTGCCAGGAAAACATACTCGTTTTCCTGGCACTATAGTGCCCTTAGGGTCCCCCCCACCCTCAGGGACCCCCTCCCGCCCGGCTCTGGAAAGGGGAAAGGGGTTAAAACTTACCTTTTTCCAGCGCTGGGCGGGGAGCTCTCTGCCTCCTCTCCTCCTCCGATCCTCCTCCTCCTGGGCTGAATGCGCACGCGCGGCAAGAACTGCGCGCGCATTCAGCCCGTCGCATAGGAAAGCATTTACAATGCTTTCCTATGGACGCTTGCGTGCTCTCACTGTGAAAATCACAGTGAGAAGCACGCAAGCGCCTCTAGTGGCTGTCAATGAGACAGCCACTAGAGGATTAGGGGGAAGGCTTAACCCATTAATAAACATAGCAGTTTCTCTGAAACTGCTATGTTTATAAAAAAATGGGTTAACCCTAGAAGGACCTGGCACCCAGACCACTTCATTAAGCTGAAGTGGTCTGGGTGCCTAGAGTGGTCCTTTAATATTATGTAATGAGGGGGTCACCCTCAGGAGACAGTAAAAAGGGGGTCACCCTTTATATGAGGCAGAACTGTATAACATAGAGGGGGTCATCCTCAGTAATGAGACAAAAGGTTCTTGTGCAAGGGTTTAGTGCAATCTGTAATAAAACAAAGTAGGTACACTTTAATAATACTGGTTAACAGTTTCAGTTGTTAACTTTCTGTCAGAAAATTTTTTGAAGGTACTTACCTGAAACTACCAATAGAGGCGCTGGAGAGCCGTTGTGATCAGTAGCCGTCCAGACGTTCCGGTCTAATGGAGGAAAAGAGCGCGAAAAAAGCCCACCAAGAAATGGCTGCGGGAGGAAAGAGTCGTCGCTGTGGAGACAGGTAAGGGGCCGGGGTTGTTCCCACAGAGGGAGGCGGCGATATTGCCAAGGTTGGCAACTGGCCAGAAGCCGATCAGATCTCGGCTTCTGGCCGCACGGATGGAATATACAAAGTGCCTCTGTAGTTCTGAGGCAGAAGGCAGCACACACAGACCGTTTGGGGATTAAACAGAAGGCATAGAAAGAAAACTAGCAGAAATCACTAAAGACACAGACCATTTAAAGGGGAAAGGTCTGAAATAAAATATTGTTAACCCCTTCCCGACCGTGGACGGAAATTTTCCGTCAACCTTGTCCTTCAGTTAAGGACCGTTGACGGAAAATTTCCGTCATTTTCTTAAGTTAACCCCAGATCGCCGCGATCGCGGCAATCGCGGGGTTAACGGTGCTCCGGTCTGCCTCTGCATTAGAGGCAGACCGGGAGCACCCGATCGGGCTGCCCCAGCACCGGTGCTCGCTCTGACAGCATGTCAGAGCGAGCACATGTGCTCCACATACTCACCTTCCGCCTCCCTGCACTTCCGGGTTCTGTGTGAAGTGCAGGGAGACGGATCAGTGCTGATCTGCTTCCCTGTGTAAAAAAAAAAAAAATTAAAGTTAAATCCCACCCCCCCTGCCCCTGTTTTAATAAAATTAACCCCTTCCCTGCCAATTGATCACTGACTACAGTGATCAATTGGCAGGGTATACATTTTAATGTCATCTGATTTTTTTTTTTTAACCCCTGAGGGTTAATTATTTTTTTTTTAACCCTCAGGGGTTAAATTTATTTTATTAATTAATTTAAATATTAAAAAATTATATATTTAGCTAGCTGGGATGGGTGGAAGTTAGTGGGGAATTGGGGAATTTGGTGTTAGGCTAACTAGGGGTTAACGTTAAAAAAAGTTTTAAAATAAGCTTTAAAAAGGTAAAAAAAAAATTTTTTTAAATGTTTTAGTAACGTTTAAGTAAAAAAAAAAAAAATACCACCCCCTTTACCCAGTCTAAATAAAAATTAACCCCTTCCCTGCCAGCTGATCACTGCCTACAGTGATCAAAATACAGATCACAGTATTATACTGTGATCTAATTTTTTTAACCCCTGAGGATTAACTTTTATTTATTTTTTTTAACCCTCAGGGGTTCCATTTAATTAATTTAAATATTTTATAATTAAATATTTTGCTAGCTGGGGTGGGTGGGGGTTATGGGAAAATGGGGAATTTACGGTTAGTGCTGCTTACTGCTAGTTAGGGGTTAACGGTAAAAGAAAAGTTTAGAAAAAAAATTAAAAGTGTAAAAAAAGTTAAGATAGTGTAAAACATTTAATAAGTAAAAAAAAAAGTTTAAAAATGGGGGTTTTACAAAGTAAAAAAAGTTTTACAAAGTAAAAAAATACATTTAAAAATGCTCATTACCACTACACTTGGTACAAGCTAGCGGAAATATTATCCCACGCTAAGGTTCAAAATATGCCTTTTGAATTACCCTGGGATGTCTTCTTTAAGAAATGATATGCCTTTATGGTGTAATTGGATGATATAGCCTTGTAAAATACTCTAAAATGGGACATGGACACAGCGTAAAAATTCAAAGTTTGGAAAAAACTGGAATGGCTGTGTCTCAAATGTGCCCCTTCAATGTCCACATATACCTGGCAAAGGTACATACGGGGGTATTGCTGTACTCAGCGACATAGCTGAACAACATATGAAGTAGTATACAGTCGTAGTACACATAAGGTTTGCAAAATATACTGCGCAAACTCACTTTGTGTGTCAAAAAGGCAGAAAAAATGCTTATTACCACTACACTTGGTACAAGCTAGCGGAAAAATTATCCCACGCTAAGGTTCAAAATAGGCCTTTTGAATTACCCCGGGATGTCTTCTTTAAGAAATGGTATGCCTTTATGGTGTAATTGGATTATATAGCCTTTTAAAATACTCTAAAATGGGACATGGACACAGCGTAAAAATTCAAAGTTTGAAAAAAATGGAATGGCTGTGTCTCAAATGTGCCCCTTCAATGTCCACATAAACCTGGCAAAGGTACATACGGGGGTATTGATGTACTCAGCCGACATAGCTGAGCAACATATGAAGTAGTATACAGTCGTAGTACACATAAGGTTTGCAAAATATACTGCGCAAACTCACTTTGTGTGTCAAAAAGGCAGAAAAAATGCTTATTACCACTACACTTGGTACAAGCTAGCGGAAAAATTATCCCACGCTAAGGTTCAAAATATGCCTTTTGAATTACCCCGGGATGTCTTCTTTAAGAAATGGTATGGCTTTATGGGGTATTTGGATTATATAGCCTGGTAAAATACTCTAAAATGGGACATGGGAACAGTGTAAAAATTTAAAGTTTGAAATGAACTGGAATGGCTGTGTCCCAAATGTGCCCCTCCGATGTCCACATATACCTGGCAAAGGTACATACGGGGGTATTGATGTACTCAGCCGACATAGCTGAGCAACATATGAAGTATTATACAGTCGTAGCACACATAAGATTTACAAAATGTACTGCGCAAATTTACTTTGTGTGTCAAAAAGGCAAAAAAACGCTTATTACCATTACACTTGGTACAAGCTAGCGGAAAAATTATCCCACGCTAAGGTTCAAAATATGCCTTTTGAAATACCCTGGGATGTGTTCTTTAAGAAATGGTATGCCTTTATGTTGTAGTTGTAATATGTAGCCTGCTCAAGTGCTCCAAAGTGGGCACGGACGCATCAAAACCCTCCATGAAAATTCACACTTAAAAACCTTAACTTGTTACGTCTCTTTTATAGCAGTGTAACTTCACAAAATAGTGTCTAGGTCATACATTGGGCATATTGTTTTACTCAGAAGACTTAGCTGAGCATAATTTGGGGGGTTTGAACTTAGTGGCACATATGAAATGTACAAAATGCCCAGCAAAAATGTAATCCGTATGTAAAAAATGCCCAAAATTATTTTTTACCACATACTTTGGCATATATTGGTGAAAAAATGGGGGCATGTTAAGGCACAATATGCACCATATGAGATACCCTGGAGTGTCTACTTTTATAAATGGTAGGCCTTTGTGGGTTTTTTTTGAACAGTCAAACTGCTATAATACCCCAAATTGAAGCATAGGCCCATTAAATCCGCCTCTCAAAATTCTACTGTAAATGTTGAAACGGACAGGTCTCCTATATGGCACTGTAGCTTCACGAAATAGTGCCAAAGACATACAATGGGGGTATCGTTGTACTCAGCAGAAGTAACTGAACACAAAATAAAACTTTGTACAGGAATAGCACACACCAACTTTACAAAATATACATGGGAAGTTCTTTGTTATAAGTTTGTGTGCCAAAAACTCCAAAAAACTAAATTTTACTCCAATATTTAGCAGAGATTGGCGGTGAAATGGCTACTTAGAAAGTGTCAAAAAAACCTTAGGACAATAGCCTGTGATGTCTACTTTATATAAATATATACTTTTGTGTGGCAATTTTGTTTTCTTTTATGGCTATTAAGCTTACAAGACAAACATACAAAATTCTAAAATCGCTCTACATTAAAAGTTTATTTTACTCCTTGTGCTTTATGACCTGTAACTACCAAAAAAAACTTTAAATCCCAGACACATTATATATTTTGTAAATCAGAACAACTAAATAAATTTATTTTTAATTACTTTCTTTAACCTGCACTAATTAGGCACACATTATTATTGTAAAAACTGTACAAAAAACACACATTTTTTCTTTTTTTTGCATTTTTCTGTATTTTTTAAATAATAAATAAGCATTTATATATATATATGTTACATCAAATTAAAGCCCTTTATGTCCTTTAAAAAACAGTATATAATATGTGTCGGTGCAATAAACGAGAGAGATGCAAATTGCAGTTGAACGCATACAGCAAGAAAATGCAAAAATTGCTTGTGTCATTAAGCGTAAGACAAGCTTCTGAAGCTGTGTCCTTAAGGGGTTAAAGTAACAACTAAGTTTACACATAAGGTCAAAAAATAAGTATATAATAAATCAATATAAGACTATTAATACTAGACTGTAATTGGAATAGACTCATCTGGGAGGCTAAGCAGCAAAGAAAGAGGAATTGGGAGGAGCCTGATGACTGGACATACTCTATTGTACACTCTAATTTTTTACTTACTGTTAACTGTTTCTTTGCTGCTGGGAGTTACAGTAAAGAAAGTAAAGCAAATATGAAGCCTCCTGTCTTGCCATAAAATTCAGACAGATGAATCCAAGGTAGAGCACTGAAGGTGCTTCTGGACAAAGATGTGATTTCTTAGGTCCCTTAACAAGAGCGGTTTCTGGGACAATGTTCATCTCTCTTCTGATGCTAAAAGTAAAGGCACATTGAAGTCTATACTGGACCTAAGAAGGGCCAACAATAGGATGGATGACAGAGCCATCAGGATAGAGTCAATCAGATCCATGTCCCGAGCAATTTGGAAGGACAAGTTCCTTATTTCTATATATCTCAAGGATGCTTACGATCAATAGTCCTAGATCTTTAGCATTATCTCAGAAGAGAACTTCCATTTAGTGCCCTACCATTTGGCCTAACTGCAGCCCCAAGAACCTTATGTGTGCTTATAGTGATATTGAGAGTCCAGAACACCACCTGGTTCCATTATATGGATGATCTACTACTGGTAGCCTCAGACACACAGAAGGCAGGCGCAAAGAGGGTTAGAGTTCCTTCAGAACGCCTGAAGTTTGGCTGCTTGATGAATACCCTCAAGAGCAGTCTCACACCAGCTCAGAGGATGACTTTTCTGGGTGGAGTATTCTATACTCTGCTTTCCCCTATCTCATGAACAGTTCCACAGGTGGTGGAAGTTTACTTTTCCAGTTTCTTCATTTTTGCTTGGTAATAGCAAGAAAGTAGATGCAACTACTAGGAATCCTGGCTTCCACCATTAGACTTGTCAGATGGCCTTAATGGCCTCTCAGGATTCCTCAAAGGTCCTTCCTATCTCAGTTCAATAAGAGTAAGATGAATTGGGGACAGCCACTGACGATGTCACCATCAGTGGAGTTACACCTTACCTGGTAGCTGACAGAGAGAATATGTCTCTGGGTTTCCTATGAACAGAACTTCATTGGGCAATTATAAGCTTGGATTCCAGTTTTCAAGGATTGGATGCACATTGTCTGGACGATGTTACACAAGGTCTGTGAATAAGGGAAGGAACAATATT